TAATTTGTTTACATAAATATTATTAATTTATATAATTAGTTATTTATTAATGTAAATGACACTTTTTTATGTACTTTGAGGCTTTCAGGAGGGCAAGGAGTTGACCATGTGTTAGAACTATTCAAATATCATTCGAGTCTACATAGTTGATCAATTGCTCGAGTTGGCTTTTTAGTCTCAAAGATAGAATTATTTAAATCGTCTAGAGTCAAATTGTTGCATCACTATTTTTTTAAAATTGTGTTTCAATCTCATTTTAGTGTTGTTCGGTTTCTGCATTAATGGTGTAATATAAATCAAATGCAAGGGATTTGAAATGGAATGCAAAGAAAAATTGAATTTTACAGTTATAGTTCAAAACTAGTGTATTCTAAATTTATTAGATTTGAATAATTTCTAACTACACTGCAAATTGCAAATTATTATTAATGTTATTGTCATTTGTTGCATGCCCGTTGTTCCTCCCAACTATTGTCACAACTAGTTGGGAACCAGCTGCCTCCTGCCACTCTCCCCTACCACTCATTAGTAGGCTTCCTCTCTCTACAACCAACCACCATTTGCCTGTCATTGGTCTGTCGCCATTATTGTCAATTTTAGGCCCTTGCCACTCTTCGCTCGCCACCACTTATCAAAAAAATTGCAACCACAAATTGTGACTGCCGATATTATTGAATATGTTTTACATTGATTTTATTTTTCTTTAAACCAAAAACAAAAAAATATAAATTTCCTTGTTTACACCAAATCAAATAATCTTTAAAGTGTTTCAAATACACTGCATTTAATTTGCAATGTATTAATTTTACACAGTATTTCATTTTTTCAAAAACCCATTCAGCCCCTAAATAAAAGAATTTGGCGAGTTAAATATGATTTATGTGTAGGTTTTCAAGTAACGGTATGGTCTCAGTTTCATCCCAAAAATATTAATTATGTTCAAATTATTGATGGAAGTTTTATAGTAACCTCTCACTTTCAATCAGATACTCATTATTGGTTCCAATAGGTGGACTAAGGTAGTTTCCTAACATAAATGGGCTTGGTGGTTTGGTTTCTCCTACCACAAGAGCAGTATTATTTTTAGTCAAATTTTCCAAAAATTCATCAATTGTCAATTGCTCTTCTAAATGCACACCCTTAGGTTCAACATATTGGATCTTAAATACCCTAGCCACAGTCTCAGTTTTTTGGGCTTGATCATTCTGGGAAAGGTCTAAAATTTTTATAACATCAAATGTAATTTCTTGATCATTCTCTCTCAGAATTACCCTCCCCTTCTCAAAATCAATGATTGCTCTGCCTGTCGCTTAAAAGGGTCTCCCTAAAACCACATGCATCTCTTGATCAACTTTTATATCCAAGATCACAAAATCAGCTAAAAAAAGTGAATCTGTCCACAGTAACACGTAGGCTTTCGACTTTTCCCAGAGGATGTGCCACAGACTGATCTACTAAATGGAGTGTCACATTGGTAGGCTTAATTTTTCCATTTCTAAGTTGTTTGAAGATGTTCAAAGGCATGAGATTAACACTAGCTCCCAAGTCACAAAGTGTTTATCCTTGAAATTTAGTTCCTATGACATAAGGAATGGTGAAATTATCAGGGTCCTTCGTGGATTTTGTAGTCGTTAAGGGAATGAAGGTGGAAGTCCCTCCGTTGAGTCAATTGGGATGACCGAGGAAGCTTTCCTAAGTTAGGTTTCTCAGGTGTATTATCATTTGGGTAGCTAGCTTCCTTTCGTACTCTAATCTTGATTCTTACTACCTTGCACTGTTCCAAATTTTGATCTTTTAGATTCACCTAAATTTTATTGGGCAGTGCACCTGGGGTTGATTTTTCATTGTGTTTGTCAGCTATCCTAATTGTGTTTCCAAAAATTTAATGGCAACATCTTGGCTTTGTAGTGTGTTCCACATTTGAATAACTAACTCCTAAGTTGGTGACTTCTTTTTGGCTAGTTGGGAGTTAGCTTAGAGTCCTGGTGGATACTGTTGTTTTTACGGTGATTCCCTTGGTTGGACCAACCACCTACCGAGTTATTATGAGTGTTTCTCTATTGCTGGTTATTCTTATTCTAAGAGATATTTGGGTGATTAGTCCAGCCTGGGTTGTAGGTGTTATAATAGGGGTTATGGCCATGATTTCCTATGACATTACATATTCTAAGTTTGACATGTCTGGAACTACCACTTGTCCACATATCTATCCATCATTAAGTGGGAATCCTGGCATGAGATTCATCCTTAAATTATCTAACTTCCTAGATATAACAGTAATTTGGGTCATGATGATAGCTAACACATCAAATTGGTGCATGCTTGCCACCTTTTTTGGGATAACTCTTTCAGTAGGCCATTGAAAATTATTTATGACAATCTCTTTGATCAATTGGTATACTTCATCAAAAGATTTGGGCATTAATGACCCTCCTGCAACGACATCTATTATGAACCTTAGTGAACCTATCAATCCATTATAAGATGCTTGAATGATTAGCTAATCAGGTAAGTTATGATGTGAGCACCTCATAAGTAAGTCATTAAATCTCTCTCACACATCGTAAATAGACTCTCCATCAATTTTGTTAAATTTGGTGATGTCATTCTTAAGTTTTGCAATTTTAGATGAAGGAAAGTACTTGACTAGAAATTTTTCGGCCAAGTCATTCCAGGTTGTGATAGATCCTATGGTAAGGTAATTATGTCATATCTTAGCCTTATCACTTAAAGAAAAGGGAAAAAGCCTCAGTCTAACAACATCATTAGGGACACCATTGTACTGAAAGGTGGCATGCAATTCAAGAAAATTGGCTAAGTGATGGTGGGGGTTCCTCAATGGGAAGTCCCCTAAACTGGTTATTTTGTACTGTTTGAATTATAGTTGGTCACGGTTCAAAGGTATTGGCTTCAATATATAGGTAGTTTATGCTCATGTGGATCAATCATGTGAATCTCCTCAATAGAAGGGTTGGCATACTCCCTAATTAGTTTCAAGGTGGGGGTTGGCATTCTCCCTAATTAATTTCAAGGTGGATGCGTTAGAGTTAGCCATCTCAATATGTGTTTTAGAAAACTAGTGCAATATCCTAAGATGTCTAAGTGTGCACTCCATCTCAGGGACAAAAGGGGCGAGATCAGCCTCAGCTCCCCTGTGCATAAACAAAAATCTAAATATGCAACACACAATCACACTGACCTACACAAGTAAGTTAATAATCTCACATGTAAATGCTACACACAATACACAAACAAAAACAAAAGAAAGCAGAAATTAAATTAAGAACAAAATTTTTTCAGCTTTTTCTCTTTTTGTATTTTTTTTAAAATTTTCAGCTCCTACAAAGAAAAAAAAATACTACAATGCAACAAAAAAAATAATAAACGAAAACAAAAACATGAAATCATAAAGTGTCAAACATAAATCCTAAAATTTTCAACTAAAGCTTTCCTAATAGTAGAGAAAATTGTTAACGCCTTTCCCCGGTAATGACACCAAAAATATAACTCGCTAAAATATACCGGGATGTAATTTGACCATACAATACAAGTGCACATGTCAAATAGTAATGCGACTAAATAGTACCATGTATTGATCCGACAGAAGAAGTGTACCAATTATTTCAGCGGAAAAAAAATTTTGTCTATAAATCTGATGAACCAAGATTGGTGGTTTCACATCAAAGAGTTGAATCCTAAATTCCTAATAAAATAAAATAGATCTGTTGACCTCACTTTTGGTTGAGGTCTA